TCACATTAGTGTCAAAAGGGACAGATTTTATTGGACTGATCAAAAAGGACAAGATCAGGTTTGTTGGCCTGGATACGTCTGACGCTGTATACCGGCCTATTCCAAAGAATTTTGTATTAATCATTTTCCATGACGTCCTCTACATATTCTGGGTCTTACCATGGCTGGACCTCTGCGTCAAAACCACAAGCATTTCATTCGCATTGAAAGTTTCTGTTGGTTTGTGACTTGTGGGTTTGTAGCATGGTAACAACAAAAATGTATTCATCAGCTCGAAAAAACAGTTTACAGACATATTTCAATATGTATACTGACTGCGGCATTAAACAACATTAACTCACAGAAGCCAATGACAGACTCTCGATTGCATTTCTAATCATTCCCTCGCCGTGTTCATGTTTCGAAAAGCAACTTTAAATTCAGACATGCGGAAATGTCTGTCTGGTAGATTGGGTGTTGGTCTGAACAAATCAATGCTTCCCGAGACAGTTATATCGATGGTCCAAGCCCATCCCCATTTATGGAAGCGGCAAGGCCTACAGCTGATACGTACAATGTATACAAGAGTGACAGATATCGACAGGTGCGTATTTCGCCAGTCCTTGTCAAATGTCGTATTCATTCGCGGAGCAAAAGGTTTCGCAAGTGTATTAACTATGTTATCATGTAAAGCATGGCAGACACTAAAACGTCAATCAAATTAATAATCTTCAAAATAATATGTCAATCGTGCATACATATTTACCATATGATCAGATATAAAAATAGACCCGTGAAGATGCGGGGTAGAAAGGGCCTTCAGCCAACCATGCTTGTCGTAAGAGGCGACTAACGGGATCGGGTGGTCAGGCTCGTTGACTTGGTCATCGTATCCAAATTGGGTGGATCGATGTCAGTCACTGGATTGTCTTGTCCAGACTCGATAATTTACAGACCACCGTCATATAGCTTGAATATTGCTGGGTGCGGCGTCAAACAACAAACAAACAAACAAACAAACAAGATATAAAAATAACATTTCATGCCACTTATTTTCCCCAACATGGATAAGCTGATAGAAACCTGATTTTCAGTACAAAGCTTGCTGATGAAGTATCTTCCTGAGAATGTCAGCTGTTGACGACACACCATCACATAAGTACCCAGCTTGTGTGATATAGCTCACAGAATCACAGATGTGACTCTTCTGATGCCTCATCCACAAGCAAGGTGTGTAAAACTGGGGGAGCCCCATGCAAAGTGAATACTGCACTTCCACAACACGATTAATATGTTGTGCTTTCAATTTCTTGTTTAAGTGCCCAAAGACATGTGACCAACAATTGCACAATATTCACTCACTCACTTTGAACATGACACATCACATACACCAGTGACAGAAGATCGTGTCTGGCATACATTACATGCCGAGACCAACAGCGACGATAATCAAAGGGAAATAACTCTTATCATGCAGTTCGGAATATCATGCCGGAACGGTCTCACATCTGTAAAATCAGACATCCACATTAAAGCGCTGACGATCATCGTCATGTTTGCAGATATTTTTGAAATCTGTCTGAAACTATATACCAAAGTTGGTATATAAGACGACAGTGTTCTCGTTACAATTTTGAAATCAGAATTAATCATTAAAGTTAGAGTGTCAACAGTGAACAAAGCAAGGTAGGTTCTATCTATCGCACCGCGCGTACTGGCAACGAAACAGTGGCTTTAGGTACCTGCGGCAGGCTCAAGTTGGTCGATTTGGCATGAGTATATGTGTATAGGCTGTCACGTGCAAAACATGTTTTGAAGTCGGAAGTGACGTAAGAGCTGCTGCTGTGGTCATTGCGCATGCGTACACTCCCTTGTAAGACAACATATTCACAATGTTTCTTCGTTATTAGATCAAATGTACTGCTAAAATGCAAACTCTTTCTTCGCTCGCACGTGCACCCATGGTCATGAGCGATCTCTATTTTGTATCATAACATAATGTATTAAATGTCTGCCAATGTCGTTAACAATGCAACAGACAAAACAAAACAAAACCAAGTGATTCAATGTTCTGAAACCGTTGTAAATAGACACGATACGAAATTATATGTACCTCCTACACAAGTAATCATGTTATGCAATCAGTATGTGGTGAGGTGGTAAGCGCCTGTAAAATATCGTCTGATTCCACAGCGAAACTCAGATCAGTGGGATGGTGAGGGGAAATGGTGTTTTCAAGATGATTTTACTTATATAGCGCGCGCGTGTGTGTATGTGTGTGTGTGTGTTGGCGTGTGCGTGTCCGCTTGTAATAGTCCGAAACTAATGCCGATTTCATAGTGCTAACCCGCTGAGATATCATGCCGCAGTTTAACATGAATGCCACACTCAGACACAGTACACTGACTTCGAGCCGACCAGTCCTTGTTTTATCACCTAAATTCAGATCAAGAAGGGAAACAACAAATACCTTTTTTAGCCTCCGGGCAAACGCTCCATCCACTAGTCCACGGAGGCGGTCGAAATGAACTACACAGGTTGTTTTCGACCAGCTTACAATAACAAATGACTCAATATATAATACGCCACTTTATACAGTATGTACACATGATTATTCATGCCTCTCTATTAAGGCTGGAATATTGATGAGTGCGGCGTGTAACAACATTCACACTGACCGCCTCTCACGTCATACCTTTTATATAGAAGGATTAAGTCCGAAGTATACGAATGTCGGGAAGATAAATGTTGGGTAAGACAGGTGTCGGATTAGATAGTTTCATGGCTGAATGCACCCGCATCAAACATAATCCATTAAATAAAACAACAAAAAAGTGCACAACGATTCGCGTTCCTCCGAATACCTTTTTTTCTTTTTTTTTCTTTTTTTTTTCTTTTTTTTTTTATATTTTAAATGTACCATTATGTTATTAGTGTCTCGTAGGCCAACTGGCCGGGTGCTGTTTGTTAATGAAATGTTTATATGTCCATATATTTTGTACTGCAGCATGTGACACTCTAATAATTTTCTCTTTCTCTCCCTCCTAAAACTAAAACATCGCCTTTATGGGAAGACACCAACGGGTATATACAATTCTCAGGCATACGGCTGTTCAGGCACACGAGTAAACCCAGAAACGTAATCGAAAGATAACCTCCGTATAATTAACGTTCTTAACAAGTCTGTGTGTTGTTTAACGCCGCTCTCTGCAATATTACAGCTATATGACGGCGGTCAGTACATAATCCAGTCTGGACCAGACAATCCAGTGACTGACATTATCAGCAACAATCTACGCAGTTGGGATACGATGACATGCATCAACCAAGTCAGCGAGTGTGACCATCCGATCCCGTCACTCGCCTCTTACGACAAGCATAGATTGCTGAATACCCGGATCTTCATGTGTGGTCTAACGAGTGAGAGAAACACTAGAGAAAACAGCATTCGATGGTATTATTGAACAAGTGTATTCAAACAAAGGTCAAACTATTCTAAAACTTGGTTGACGAATCCGACGACTCCAAAATCTTGAAATGAGAAGGAAGAACCGAAAATTAGTGGGTTTTTTTCTTATTCTGCCAACCAGAAATAAGTAACATGTAAGAATAAATATTTTGAGGAAATAAATATAAAAAATGAAATTTGAATTGTTTTCTTTCTATTTTGTGCGACCTTCCGATCTGAGGTTTTGGGCCTCAAGTTCGTAAATAAATAAGAAAAAGTCTGACCTAAAAACGATAGATCTGGAGTTATAATGAGAGCACGGAAGCAAATCTTGAATGTTTGACTTAAGAAAGTTCGAGCAGATTCTCACGATAGCTCTCCGCACCATCATACCATCAAATCATTTGATAATCGATATGCACAGATTTACCTCTCATTTGTTCATTACATATTTTGATTTTTTATGATTATGACGGCAAATATATTTTTTACACATAATGAGTGTTCGTGGTATTCTATGAGGGAAAGCTGATATAACACAAGAAGAGTAAGGTATATTTTTTACTCACATACATGACTTATTATCTTCCTTCCTCAAGGATTTAAGATTTTCATTTCTTTACTTGCTTTTAACAATTATCCGAGAAGGTCGTTTACCTAATCTTTGGCCTTGAAACGGGTATGAATAAAATACTATACTCGAGTACTCGTAGGTTATTCGTACTCGAGTATTTGTAAAGGCGTTTGCGTAGCAACCAATCCATCTAGGGGGTATTCACCTTAGAGTACCTTGAACGAAAAAAGGATGTTACTCGAGGCAAGCTGGATGCCGATATTGACATCGAGCGAAATCGATATCTCCGCAGCTTGATCGAAATGAATGTAGATCCTTGATTTGAGCGATACATATATCTAATTATTAGCGAATAGAGATGGATCAGAAGGATACAGGGCGGAACCCAGAACAAAATATGGCCTCAAGAAATATCTCTAGCTTTTGAAGTTCTAGTTGGTCGTTTATTAAAATTTATTTAAATTTAATCCACACAAAAATTAGTTCTAGTTGCCCAGTAATTTATTTCAAATCCGGCAGTATACATCAGGTAAGAACTATTCAAAAGACATGTTGTCATGACACCACATAATCACCGTTTTTGTCAGGAGACCTTGAAAATATAAACCATTTGTGTCGACCTCAAACCAAAGTGTTATTCCGAATTACCCCATAGACATATGTACTTTATTAAAAGAACTCACCGTCTAGAAAGATGTGAATACGTTTGTGCATAACTGAGTTAATCGACAGATATATGTGAATCGATAAAAATAAACACTAAACAGACAGATAAACAAAAAATATGAATACGCTGATGTACACAAACAGACCAAATATATTTCGCCCTATAACTGATGTAACAGTATCAGCAAATCAATACTCCCAACAGCAGATCTTTGTCCTTGCTAAACCCTGCCGTTATATCTTTGTCCTGCTGAATTAATTTCTGAAATCAATAACCGGCTCATGTGTCATCACCTGCTATACAATCAATGACTTTTCAAAGTAAAAGAAACACTTGTTTCCAGAAGAGCGTTTCCAGTGATTTCATCTGAGAATATCCAGGAAGGACTCTCCCTTGATGGGTCTCCAAGAGGGAACTTCAGCTGTTTTTATGCGGACACATCTTAGTGACAACAGAGTGCAAACTTCCATTCAAGACTCAAGATTAACTTGTTTTTCTTAATACCTGCTATGCTTTGAAGCACGAAGTTTGCATAGCTGAAAGCAGCTTTGAAGAAGATCCTAGGTAACAAAGAAACATAATTGAAATCTCGCGAGACTTTACGGAAGGCGAGAACATTTTGGACGAGACTATGCAGGCTTACATACCTGCTGTGTGTTACGGTATATTTGCATGTCTCTCAGGTACGTTTTGTTTCTTAATATTTTCAAAGGCTGCGTTCTGTTTGCTGAACATAGGTTAGAACCACGTGTTATTTGAAGAATCCTAGGTTTTTCATTTTGTCGTTATAAATTGTCGTTTCATAGTCACAAACATACGAGAATCTCTATTTAATAAAAAAGTTTCATAGTATATAATGTGGACATGTGTGCACTACCAATTGTTTATGTTTCTTACCAGAAGATTAGACCACTGTAGTTTTCATGATTCAGCATACATAAAGTGTCTACATAAAGGATTTCATAGGCAGAAAACTGCGAGTTCGCTCCGTTACACTTCACTGACGGCATGAGGAAGAACTGTTGTGTGTGTCTTTTACATTTCCGTGCTTCTGGTAAATGTAATCATTCCAGATCAAAGGGTATCATTTGGAAAGATTGCTGCAGAGATCAGACGCACACCTAAATACAAAAGTATCTACTAAAGCCTTGTAATTTAAAAAACCAAGCATGGACATTGCAGTATCAATAAGGGAATAATTCAAAAGGATTGCACGTCAACCACATTCTGTGCTTTTTATAGTCTGTCAAAACACGTCTGGCATTAATCATATCCAGTTAATCTAGTAGCATGTAGCATACATTGAAGAAAAATTATTTTGTTATATAATTCACATTATTTGATTTTATACGTTGGCTGTCCAAATGCATGTATGTTACATTATCCATCATTTTCTGAAAACTATGTATATAGTGTGTTTCTATTGCTCTGGTAACACGTTCCTTTCCTTGATGACATCAGTGATGACACTAGGTGTTCGCGAAAAGGATACCAGTTGCACCCCAAATTGCATAATAATGTGTTTGTTGCTCAGCAATAGTACTGTCATGCGACGTCTGCCAGTAAACAAACCAGACAATCATGAGATGTACCAGGAAACTAGTGACACATGTCTGAGGTGAGGTGAGGTGAGGTGAAATGGGGTTAAAAATCCGTTCAAGATTATTTCAATCATATTAGTGACGTGCATACACGTGTATGTCTGCCTGTATTCCGGATTTATGCCCGTTTTATAGTTCTAGCCATGGAGTTACCATGTCGCAGTTTAATATGGATACTCCATTCAGAAGCATTACACAGGCTCCCTGCTGAGCAGTCCTTGTTGTGTACAGGCAGCGTAACAGCAAGTACGATCTTTTAAAGTCTTTTGGTATGACGCGTCCACCGATTTTCGCTCTCAGGACAGACTCTATTGAAAATCCGATCTAATCTGAAAACCATGACCACTTGCCAAAGGGAAGAGATTTGTGATACATTACACTCAGATAAGTTTCAAAGATCACATGTGTTCATGAATTTCAATTGGTTTCCTCTTTGTCAGTCTGAAAATAGAATACGTTTTAAAATGAAATGTCCATTCATATGAATGTCCTTAGTTGAAAATCGACCCCGCATTTCCGGAGGTGTAAAATTGCGGCATCGTTGACGTCATTGTATGTCATCTCATCATCATCTTCTCCTCGGAAACTAATGGACCGATTAAGCTGAAACGCGGCATGCCTCATCCCAGCGAGGATGACACCATGACCTTCTTGTACAAAGCCATCGAATGTTATGACCTGTTAAAGCATAGAAGGAAGATACTTGTAGCGCTAATATCGCTTTTGTTCGAATCTGTTCGAATCCGACTTTCAATCCACAGTAACCATATTTTCAAAACGGTTTTGCTACACATTGTACGCGTAGTAGTGGGACTTAGCGTGTCCAGTGAATATGCCATAGCAAGATTTTGTTTTAAATGTTGACCTTGTTTGACCTACATTTTGTACTTTGTCAATGTCTTTGAAATGCTGATAACTATAAGAATAGTCTTAGATTTCAGCTGCCCGAAGTCAATGAGAGGAAAACTAGAGTTTCTGACTATACTTTCATACAGAACATTAATCACTATAATTACATTTATTCAGTAAGTATACCACTTAGTATATTACGAATAGAGTTTAATATTGTTTTGGTTAAGGTCAGCTGAAGGTCAACTTCATCATTCAGTTATTATGGACCATATATTGTATCCAGTGATTATGGACCATATGTTGTATCCAGTTATGATGGACCATATATTGTATCCAGTTATGATGGACCATATATTGTATCCAGTTATGATGGACCATATATTGTATCCAGTTATTATGGACCATATATTGTACCCAGTGATTATGGACCATATGTTGTATCCAGTTATGATGGACCATATATTGTATCCAGTTATGATGGACCATATATTGTATCCAGTTATGATGGACCATATATTGTATCCAGTTATTATGGACCATATATTGTATCCAGTTATTATTGGACCATATATTGTATCCAGTTATTATTGGACCATATATTGTATCCAGTTATTATGGACCATATATTGTATCCAGTAATTATGGACCATATATTGTATCCAGTGATTATGGACCATATATTGTATCCAGTTATCATAGATCATATATTGTATCCAGTCATTATGGACCATATATTTTATTCAGTCCATTATGGACCATAAATTGTATCCAGTTATTATGGACCATATATTGTATCCAGTTATTATTGACCATATATTGCATTCAATTATAACCTCAACAGGAACAAAACTTATATATTCAAGTATTCTTACAAGGCCCATACAATCCGATGTCACTGGAATGTCTGTGTAAGGTCATGGCCTTCATTAAAGAAAAGTTTAGACCCGTGAAGATCCGGGGTAGAATAGGTCTTCAGCAACCCATGCTTGCCCTAAAGGGCGACTATGCTTGTCGTAAGAGGCGACTAACGGGATCGGGTGGTCAGGCTCGCTGATTTGGTTGATGCAAGTCACCGATCCAAATTGCATGGATCGATGCTCACGATGTCAATCACTGAATTGTCTGGTCCAGACTCGATTATTTACAGATCGCGTTATATAGCCGGAATATTGCTGAGTGTGGCGTTAAACACCAAACAAACAAACAAATAAAGAAAGAAATGTTTAAATAGGAAAGTGGTGGTATCATTTTTTTGCGAGTTGCTTATGCACTTTAACTTGAACAATCCTTATCAGTTGTTAATAAAAGTTAATTATGAGAAGAGCCAAGGTTACTATCAAGGTCACAAGTTTGGAGTCACTTACACGTTATCCAGAAGTTTTTCAATGTACTGGCCATGGAGTTTGAATATTGGTAATGAATGAAAACATTTATTTTGTATTTATTTACAGAAATTAAATCACCCTAACTATAGATAAAACCTTATGTCACGTGTTTCTGTGTTGACATTTTAAGTAGTTGTTGGCAACATCTGCACGTGAACTACAACATCGCGGCACTATTTTATGATCTGATCATTATTTTTGTTATAATATATAGACGTTTCCACATGTTCCATAATATAAGTTTAGGAAGTCATTATTATTGAATAAAATACAAAATATGCAGGTGAGCTACAATGACGTTGCATTATGTTTAAGCTTATCAATCTATGGTATAATCTGTGCATAAATCTCAATCTGCCACACACAATAGGCATATAATGAAGGACGTCAGGTCCGACAGATGCATTTATCATCAGACAAAACTACAAATTACAAAAGCATAGTCTGGAATGGAAGTTGCCAGTTTTGAACTGGTACCGCAAAATTTAAGAAAGCTGCTTTCTTCGTGGCTAACGTAGACTTCCTGTTAGTAATTTCATTGGTCGGTCATAGTTCGCGAAAGTTTGTTCTGACGTAATGAGATGTCTTCGGAGATAGCGAGAGTTTGTATCTGATTAAAATGAGATTGAGGTAATCTAAGCACGTGATTAATCCTGTTTTCTTTATTTAACGCAATATTTTTTCTTGTTAAGCAAGTTTATCTCTGCAGCCGTTCTAATATGCAGCTACCAGCCGACTCGTCTCGCATCAAAACACGGGCTGTGTACTCGCGGGCAGATGACCACGGAGTACGCTGATCGCTGTGTCGGATTAACGAGACTGATTAATGGGTGATTTCGGTAATTCGTTGCAAATTAGGTGTGTCGGAGTCGGAGAGCGAGACTGTCGGATTAACGGGTCTAAATAGCACTGATTTAATCGGTTCCCATCATTAGTGTCGGATAAAGCCGATTGTCGGATTAACGAGACTTGACTGTATATGATAGTGAGATCATTGCTGGAAGGGAAACATCGGTTATAAGAATGATATTGACAGAATAGGGTCATTTGGCAACATGGCTATCTGGAAACTATTGAAGATAATGTACGTGTTGTTTCTGTTTGGCATTTAGCCAAAGCAATCGATCTTGAACGTTTCTCACATGAAAAATGTTTTAACATACTTATATTTATCGAAGAAGTGGCTTTCGTCATGGGAATCTTTTTGAAACCTTAAAAAGTATCAACTCTTTTATCACTGATTATCGGGAGCCCAAGGAACAAGTACGTGTATGTTCGTACATTGCTCTCGGTGGAAATGTGAGGTAAGAGGTATACTTCTCTCAAATTGATACGGATACTGATCATGAGATGGTTATACCGTTAGGAAACCATCCATATTATTCGCATGAAAACATTTTGTTGGCGGGTAGTAGATCAAGAGCATAATGGTCATTTCATAGCTTCAGTAAAACGTACATCCAGTTTTCAGCAACTACATTGCGTAATTAGACCATACGTTTTCCAAAAATGTTAGAGTGAGTGAGTGAGTATGGTTTTACGCCGCTTTTAGCAATATTCCAGCAATATCACGGCGGGGGACACTAAAAATGGGCTTTACACATTGTACCCATGTCGGGAATCGAACCCAGGTCTTCGGCGTGACGAGCGGACGCTTTAACCACTAGGCTACCCGACCGCCCCCAAAATGTTAGAACAGTATACAGGCCTGTAATACTATTGACCCTGAAGAAGATATAACAGCTCTTCAGGTGTAATGAATTTGGTATATAATGCTTATATACCTGAAGAAATCAGTTGTGTGTGGTACTTAAAGCCCCAAATGACACAGGTCTTAGACACCCA